CTACGTACGGTGCAAAAGAAATTCAACACACATACAAACACTCCCCCAAATTACTTTTTGTGATGTCATACTTTTATTTGAATCCAGAGGTCGCAAATTATATCTCCCGGTGCTACAGTTGAAACAATGGACACGTTTCTTAAATCCTACAGCCTCTGTTCTGCCAGCAGTACGTGTGTACACCGCAGTTTGTTTGATCTTCGGATAGTCGTGTTGTCGGTTAAGGTGTGGGGAGCTCCGGCCTCTTTCAAGATATCTTGCCAGCGTGGAAGAGTATGCCAATTCCTCTCCAGAGGGGCCTCTCCAGAGCCTCCCCCTACGTCACGTCCTACCACCAGCAGTGCCATGAGTCAACAACGGTAGGGTTGCACTTTTAACTTTAACAAATATAGAAACGTATGTATATCAAGACAGAAAGTTATCTCCATATTGCCTACAACCTTACATAGGAATGATTCCAGTAATGAGGTGAGGGGGGGGGGGGGAGAAATACCGCAGGCTGTTGAAATGGGCAGATATTCTTGAGAAACGGCTTATCTATGCCGAGGTTGTTAGCGTTTCCTTGCAGAGCCGGGCGTTGTGTGGCTTCTCCAGATGCCTGCTTATTGCAACTTGTGCCTCCTACCTCACGGTAACTTCTTTTTTCCTTCCCTCAGATGAAAGATCACCGCTGTGGGACTCATTTATTTCCGATGCTATCAAGCAAGCTGTGCAATGGTGTGGGGTCCAAAGCAGGTGACTTATTTCATTGATCTCTCCTACTGGGCCTGCCTAGAACCCGAGTGTTTTGTACCTTGAAACTTATTTCGCACTCTACGTGGCCAACCGTAGCAATCGTACCAGTTATACAATAGCCCGCATTCTAACTCACCGATTTGACATCCCAGTTTCTTATTTTGCATAACAATGCAGTATAATGCGTTCGGCATTCGCAACTCCTGCTAACACAATGGGGCACCATTAAAGCATTGTGTTTATGCATGACATGGACGGAGCCTACCAATTATAAGCGACACTCGGTGAAGTACACTTGGATGCTGCAGTAGATAAACATTTTTTTAGAACTCTTTATGCGCCGGTGCATTAACACTCCCGCAATTATAACAGCATGCAATCAACAACAAAAAAACGATGTGATCTCCGCTGCATGGTCAACACTTAAAGAAGCGTTGCATTTTTAAACAAAAGGTTTTTTACAGCGGGGTTTTTTTTTATTCACGGCGCATTCATGGTGGCCACAGAAGACGAATCCGTGACTTCCATCAGAAAAATATATTCTTGTCACACAATCGGGGTAATAAAGTGCATTGACTTGGGCCAAATTTAAACATTTAACTGAAGGTTACTAAGCTCATTTTCTCATGCTCGCGGTCACGTGCCAGATCACATAATGCCAGGGTACATTTTTATTTTTATAATTTTATTACACAAAAAAGTGCAGATGTGTGCGGCTGATCCTCGGTGTATTAAAAGGGCATAAAAGAGATGAATGGAGGCGCGGCAGAACGTGACCAAACTTACAACAATCCAGGGAATAAATTAGGGTTCAATAATGGCTTAAAGAACTTCAATTGGAAGACATAAAACGCACATCAGAGAAATGTTGAAAGTTGTTGCAAGCGTGAACTGACGCTGCCCATGTCGCTCACCCTTGCGTGTACAATTATTCATTGATGCCTTTGCACTGATTGTTGTCAAAACACTGCGCGCGATCAAGCATTCACGACTGTAATTTGCAGGAGGGGGGGCAAAGCCTCTTCAGACGAGTTATTGAATGAGATCTGCCAGCTGTGTTCGCAGTGGTTGTTATGCGTGTGGAGGCACATGTGAAAATGCTCCTTGTGTGGGTCTATAGGAAACAAGGGTGAAAAAAGGTTTTAAATGCATTGATTTCTTGTCTGATATCATCTGCGATTCTGACAAGATAAAATAAAGCCAAATACCAATTGTCATTCCATCTCAAAATAGCGTTTTTTGGTGGTGCCAGGGTAGGCTGTATGTTTGTTGTACCACGGCCTGCGGATTGCCTTCCACATCATTATTAATGCATAATAGAAAAACCTGTTTTGTGGCTCTTACTTTACTTTCTTATATTAAGTTGAAAATGCAGAAATGAAATGCGTATGCACATACTTTAAATAACAGCTAGCCAATGTGTGCAAAACACTTCTTATGCATAGAACATAATTTTATTTTATATTAAAAATCCCCAATGGAATGTAAATATCACGAAGCTTTTCTCTCATAAATATAGCATACATGTTGTTGTTTACCACAAACCTGTTAGTACAGTCTTGACTAACGGCCAAATACAATGTCAGCAAATAAACATTAAGCACCGCAGTTTCTACATGGCTCCACAACTCTTCAATCACCACGAGCTAAGCAATCGGTCCACGTTTTAGGTCCACATTTTAGACTCGAACCGGCAAGAGTTTATCGCACTGCGTGTCGCGTTTGGGCCCACTTAGAGAACGGCGATGCCGTGGTGAGAGATGGGCAGAATGTGTATAATCAAAATGCCAGATATATTAATAAAAGTGGAACGGCACCGGTTAGTGTCCAGGGTCCCTTACCACAGATTAGTTCCCTCCCTCTCTCGGTCAAAATGTTCAGCAGTGTCACAAATAGGCCAATGGAGAAAAATGTAATTGGCCCCAGGTGGCCTATTGCTTCTACATTTCACGGTGTCCAGAATCAATACACCTTCAGCAGGGGTGTGGATGCGTACACTCGCTCAATTTTATGTTCCCGTGTTCAACAATTCCTACGATTATATAGCCTGTAATATGGGGTGTGATTCGTGTACACTAATGTGCTGGCGTTTCGGCAATGTAACACATGCCAGGCGAAATTAATGGGTTTTGCAAAAAAAATATTTTGGCATTGGTTTGTCAATAATGTTTGATGGTTTAAGTTTATTATAATTTGTTACGCGGATTTGAGGTCAACGTGCTTGCTTCATCCGGTGAAAAACTCCAGATGTCATTGGTACTCAACCTATGCACAACTATGTTAAGCTACAGTTATACATAGTAGACGCAAGTATGACGCATCGTTTTAATCAAATCTGGAGTTACAACTCAAGCAAAACCAAACCCCTCTCCCAAAATATCATTGGTGACGATGATGATTACGTGAAATGTTGATATCCAGTCAATACATTTTGGACATGCGGAGTGAATTTCAGAGTTTTTTTCCCAGACAATGAGAATGGTGGCAGCCGTTAGAGGCGATCACAGCGATAATGCGTAGAAATAAACATTTGTCAACAAAGTTTCGCAATCTGTAGGTCGATTGATTTCACTCACGGGGCAAGGGGTGAGACGACAACTCTGCATTGCTTTGAGTCGCCCGCCTCTCGTAGAGTGTGACGTTAAAGCCCTTGAAAAGAAGGTCACGCCCACTACCGTTTGCAAAATAAGTTGGAGTAATATTGTCAATAACGCCTGACTACTGATGAGAGCCTAAATATCGAAACAGGCTCATTCTTTCAACTGCTGCTGAATGAACGTTGGTTTCAAAATCTAATAAACGAACTGAAAGTGAAAAAAACGGTCCATAAAGCTATGGACATATTATTCACGCATTATAAATAACCTACAATTAAGTTTGGTAGATAAAGCCATACACCCGCAACCCTGGTAGATGGTGTGAATATTGTATTTCACGGGTTTCACCCCAATAACCCTCGGTGCACATGGCGCCTGCGACACACCTATAGCGAGCGTCTCGCCTATGATTGTTTCCAATGATTCTGTCACGCGCTGCTGTTGCAGACCACTCGAGATCTTCGGCATAATAAAACACCTTAGAAATGCAAAGGGCATGCTTCAATCCAGCAGTAGATTTATACGTGGAATGTATTGCTGATATTTCAATGGCGCAGTTCAAAAGCTATGTCTATCATTCTTCTTTAATAATGGATCACACCTTGATGGACACGCTGAATTTGTTTTGTGTGAGCGTAGAGATCTAGTTACGTATTTTTGTGTATTATTTATATCGAAACAGAAGTTCATCTTGCGAGCGTAAACATAATCAATCATAAGTACAAATGTTTCCAGGTCATTTGTTTATCCGCTGCCGCATAAAATCCTGTCCCTCATTATTTCGGTCATGGGTTTTTTTTATTTTACCATACTTCGCCAAATCGATCACTACGGTTTAGTGGTGACATAGCCCTGGGACTCGTTCTGATATTTACGCGCCAATGACGTTAGCTCTGGCTGCCAATTGAACTCCCCACAGTTGCCAAACGCATCGTACGGTTGCGCTAACTGCTGTGCCATCGCTCCAACCCTCTTGAGAGCATAACCCAGATGTGTGGTGATACTGCTGGCTATGCTGCGTATATTTACAGCGCTCAGATGTGTTATGGGTTGTACCACGTGTTGTTGTTTGGCATTACTGTCGAATTGTGTACTTCTCTGAAGAACTCAGTGGAAAAGCTCAGCGATTTGAGCTAACCGTCTGACATCAGGAATACAAAAGAAACACTAAAGAAGCTCCCAGCACGTGGAACGAAACGCCGGACACCATTATCATCATGAACGTAACAACCCGAACACACATCGGAGGGCTGCATATTCCTACGTGTGTGTGTGTACCGTGATAATGTGATGTGGGGAGCGGTGGCGCAGTGGTTAGCGCGCTGCGCTAAGACCCCAGCGACCCGAGATCGATTCCCGCTCACAGTCAACACCGGTGACGATTATCTGCACCTCCCCTAGGTCGATTCAGCCTCAAATGAGTACCTGGTGCGGTCTGTAAACATCGCCACTGGGGAAACAAAGGGGGCCAGGCGTGGTACTGGCCACCCACCCCCTCGTGTGCCGTGCCGGCCCTCATAGCGGCTCGCTAACAGCCACTTGCCCCAACAGTCTGCCCACAATGCTAAATGGGGGGGGGGGGGGCTCGCTCATTGTCTTTACATATCGCGACAAAAGGGCGAGAGAGAAACTCGTGCCACCGTGCGGTGTTGCGTGCCCACAGCTCACCCGTGCCGGTGATGTTCTGCTCGCACGAGTACCAGAGTCCGGTGTGGAAGTAGCGCAACACGAACTTGTCATCGCCGGTCTCCCAGCTGTACACGGCTCCGCCGCCGCCGCTGCGACTCCCATCAGCAGCGACACCGCCGCTGCTGTTCGCCCGCAGGCAAGCAGCCGCCGCCGCCGTCTGCGGGCCGGGCCGCGTCTTGGGACCGCACGGCGGCTTGGGCACCCTCTGCGTGCCCTCGCACCAGTAGGTGGTCACGAAAGCCGTGGAGGAGAACAGCAACGCCACGAAGTTGAGGAACACGGCGAGAGATGCGCGAAAGTGGCTCCTGGCGTTCATGCTGGCGGCGCGGGACTGCTGCGACCTGCTGCTGTTGCTGCTGCTCTCGATTGCCTCGCCGCTGTTGCTGCCAGCATCGTCGAGCGAGATGTTGCAGCAGCGGCGGCGGCGACAACATCACCGCCGACTGTTGCGCGCGTGCGGGGTCCGCTTCAGCGGGTCATCAGTGTGCGGCGCGCGTCGTTGGCCACTTGGAGTTGCGTTACATCCTCGCTCGCTCGCTCGATCTCTTGCGGCGCGCGGCCAGATAGCCAAGCGTTAGCAGCAGCGGCCGGCCATCAACGCGCCAGCCAGAGACGCGCGCGTTTCTTTCTTTTTTGCTATTTATCTCTTTCTATTTCTCCTTCGTCTGCGTTGATCGTGGCTCTTCTTTCGCCTATTCGCGAGCGACTCTGCCGAGTGTGAACGCGCGCTTCTGCGTAACTCACGGACGAGAGCTCAGTGCGATTCCAAGTGCGTTTGTAGTCCGTTCTAAGCAATCGTTGTGGACAGCGGCTCTTTTTCGTGCGTGTTATTCCTGCACGCGGATTTTTTTTGAGCGAGTCTTCTCCGCGTGCGCGCGTGCCCTCCGCGTGTTGCGTCCGCGCGTGTCTTCCTCGTGCTACCTTTGCGAGCGTGATCGCAGCTGACCGGCTAAGCCAGCTCTGCTGCCGTAAGGATAGCCCGTTGTCAGAAAACGTTGCGACGGATCTCCGGAGGGGGAGTGAAGCTGGAGAGGAATATGGATGGTGTGTGAGCGCGCGCGCGTGTGTGTGTGACTGTGTGTGTGTGACTGTGTATGTGTGACTGGGGATTGTGGGGGGGGGGGAGGAATCGGTGAGATCACGGCGTGGGAGGAGACTGGAGTCCGTTCGAGCTGTGGCGGACGTGGGGCTGGGGTCCACGGGAGAGACCCAGGGAAGTGGGATGGAGGGAGGAGGTTGTACGTGTGTGTACGTGTGTACGTGTGTACGTGTGTGTGTACGTGTGTGTACGTGTGTGTGTACGTGTGGGGAGCGGTAGCGTAACGGTCAGCGCGCCGCGCTATGAACCCGGCGACGCGAGGTCCATTCCCGCTCACGGCCAACACCAGTGACGATTATCTGAACAGGTCCTGTGCCTCCCCTAGGTCGATTCAGCCTAAAATGAGAACCTGGTGCGGTGTGTAAATATTAACACTCGGGAGACAAAGGCGGCCTGGCGTGGTGCTGGCCGCTCACCCCTCTGTGTGCCGTTCCGGGATTCATAGGTGCTACTCGCTAACAGCACTTGTCCCAACAGTCTGCTAAGGGCTGTGGGTGGGGGGGGTCTTTGTCTTTGTACGTGTGTGCGAGGGTGCGAGTGTGAAATCGTGTTGCGGAGGGCGAGCATGTTGGCCTCATAACGCGCGTGAGACGTGGGTGCTAAAATATTCATTCGCATTTAGTAGGTGGGCTGTATGGTCGACTGGCAAGACAAGTGGATTCCTTTGCGGGCACAATGATTGAGGAAAGACAACAACAAAAACGTGCACGAAGCATCGAGTGTAAAAAAAAAAAAATGTTTAGTGCGCGCAGATTGCGTGTAACCCAGATAGTGTTGGGAATACACAGCGAGCCGTCATAAACACATACGCGCGTGCGTACGTACGTACGAACCAAAACGACTGCGAAATAATGAAGTCTAACTGTGTAACCTATATGACATAAAAACAGAATTTTAATTGCAATGCACCAGACGAAGCTTGAGGCGACGTCCTCACTGCATACCAATGTGGGTGATGACTTATGTGTGAGTGAAATTTATTAAACCGGGTTAAAGAGGGTAGATAAATGAGTCAGACAGCTATGGGGTGTATTCGTAATTGTTCAACAACAACTACAACATTTATGTTAATACAACGTAGCGAATAATGGTACTAGATATTCATAATAAATTGTTTTTTTTTGGGTTAGATCGTGTAAGTATAATTGTGTCGTTAACCCGCCACCACCCGACACAGCCAATTAGTAATGTCTGTCACGTAAACAAAACGTGGCCAATTGCTTTCTACTTCAGTCCACCACCGGTGTGTTGGAGAGTAATTCCACAACATTTATAATTCGAGTGCTTTGACATTTCGCTGGTAATTACATCCAGCATCATCGGGCAGTTTTGCCAGAATTATGAAAATTGGTCGTATAGATGGTTAGTATTAGATGGTATCATTGTCGTCGTCCATGATCAATCCACCGCTGGATTGGAACCCCCACCACCCCCCTCCCCAAGCCTTTATCCTTTCTCAGGAACCTTCGTGTAATAGCCCACACGGACTGATTCCATCACTCCATCTCCTCGATGGACATGAATCTCGGATGCATTCCATCCATGTCTTGGCTGCCATGACTCTTGACTCTGGGACCTCTTCCATTCTAACGGCCGTGTCCTGCCCAACAAGGCTTTTATTACCGGTTGAAATTAAGTCATGGACCGAAAGAGATTATTCAACATTGATATTTATGTATGTGTGTATCGTACAATGTGGATTGCAATATGCAGAAACAGTACAGGTACTGCGAATGTCTACTGTCTAATATAAAAATCCAACAAATTGATAACTCAAGCCTGTCACTACAGACGACGCAGTTGACGACATCACGTGCAAGGAAATCCTCTTGACTCCCGGCTAAATATGCTAAAGCGGCGTTTGTAATGTGAAGATAATTTGCCACGCGGAGTTCTTCAGGAATACTAAATCATCACGACTACGTGTAGGCACAGACAATCCGCGGTATATGTAATGTACATTTTACACATTTGGATACTCCACAGAGTTATAATAATAGTGTGCAATTGAGTAGTATACTCTTAGTTCTTTCGGTAAAGTCACGTAGGTAAAAAAAATGAAATTTAAATTAATAAAACAATAAAATTATTTTATTGTTTTATTTTTATTAATTTTAATTTCATTTTTTTACCTACGTGACTTTACCGAAAGAACTAAGAGTATGAATCCTTGCAGTCACGAAAGCTTCAAATCTAGAATCAATTGAGTATTCCCGATTAAGCATATTTTGCTGAGCGCACTGCACTGTGAACTATATTATTGTAACGTTCCGACCCACCCCAACTGGACATCTGGTGAAAGAGCTTTATAGCTCGTCGGATTCCTCCAGTATGAATATATATTCCTCGTTCGTTCGTTTCTCAGTCCGCTTGTCCTGGTGAGGGTCGTGGCAGCAGCAGCGTGTTGAGTAGTGGCGGTCCACACCTCCCTCTCCCTGGCGACAGACTCCAGCACTACACTACTATACACTACACTATACACTACACTACAATACTATACATTACTCTACACTACACTACACACTAATATACACTACACTATACACTACACTATACACTACACTACACACCACTATACACTACACTACTACACTATACACTACACTATACACTACTACACTATACACTACTACACTATACACTACACTATACACTACACTACTACACTATACACTACACTATACACTACACACTACACTACACACTAATATACACTACACTATACACTACACTACAATACTATACATTACTCTACACTACACTACACACTAATATACACTACACTATACACTACACTATACACTACACTACTATACACTACACTATACACTACTATACACTACACTATACACTACTATACACTACACTATATACTTCTATACACTACACTATACACTACTATACTACACTATACACTACTATACACTACTATACACTACACTATACACTACACTATACACTACTATACACTACACTATACACTACTATACAGTACTACACTTAACACTACTAAACTGTACACTACTATACATTACACTACTCTACACTACTATACACTACACTATACACTACACTATACACTACACTACTATACACTATACACTACTATACACTATACACTACCATACACTATACACTACTATACACTACTATACATTATACTATACACAGCGGAGCGACATCGTCCCACTAGCAGCGCGTCCCAGGCCGGTGCCGGGGTCTTCAGCAGCCACGTGTAAGTTAGATACACTACACTATACACTACACCACTATACACTACACTATACACTAACTATACACTACACTATACACTACACTATACACTACACTACTATACATTACACTATACACTACTATACACTACACTATACACTACACTATACACTACACTACACACTAATATACACGTGTAAGTTAGATTCTTGCCACGGCTCACCTCGGTGGTAAATAATATCGGAAATGTTGCTGCACCCCCCCCCCCTTGCCCCACCAGCCCGCACTTGCTAGCGTGGTGAAGTATGGTTAACCCCCCCCCCCCCGCCAGCCCGCCATGACCTTAGTGTCAATGTGACGTCTTCATCCACCAATGGACGGTCGTCGCGTTTGCTTTCGGTGTTTCAAAAATAAATAACAACAATTCGACCTTCTTGGTTCTTTCGGTAAAGTCACGTAGAATGGAAACAATAAAAATAATAAAATAAAACATAATAAAATAATTCTCACGACGTTTCGACTACTTGCGTTATTATTTTTATTGTTTCCATTCTACGTGACTTTACAGAAAGAACCAAGAAGATGAATCCCTGCAGTCACGAAAGCTTTAAATCGAAACAATTCGACCGTTGAACACGTAGGCGTTCGCGACCAATATCCATGTTTTTATTCGTAAATATAAATGTGTTGTTAAACCCGCCACCACCCGACACAGCCAATCAGTAAAGGTTATCACGTAAACAGAACATGCCAATTCGTACAGAACCGGCCATTTCGTACAGAATATACCAATTCGTACATAATTGGCATGTTCTGTTTACGTGACGAACCTTACTAATCGTCTTTGTCGGGTGGTGTCGGGTTTAACGGCACATTTATATTTACGCGATCTAACCATAAAAAAACTATATTATGAAAAAACTGAAAAACTGGACCATTGTTCTTCACAGTGAAGATGGTACAAGTTTGAATAAGAAGGTTAACATCCCAATCGCCGCATGTATTTAAAGCACTACGATCGCAGCAATTTGACAACAGTTCACGCGCGCGGCTTGCAGACAAAAAAAACACAACAAGGCCACATGACGTATTAACGTGGGAGTCGCGTTGTCTGTGACGGCATCGCCGCACGATTCGTGTTTAAAAATAGAAGAAGGGATGAAAGTCTGAATGAATACTCGAGTTAATTGCGAATGTGCGAAACGTTGGCACACACGCGGCCCTAATTAATTGACAACGGAAGAGCCATAAATACCGGGCGTAGTCGGGGTTTGGCATGCGGTGAGCTGGGTGGAATTCACGAACAGCATTTGTGCTCTTCTTGGTTCGTTCGGTAAAGTCACGTAGAAGGGAAATAATAAAATAATATTATTTTAAAAAAAAATTGTTGTGGATTTCACACCTGATGACGATTGCTTGTGTTGCAGTCGAAATGTCGTGAGAATTTTTTATTGTTTTATATTAATATTATTTTATTATTTCCCTTTTACGTGACTTTACCAAAAAAACCAAGAATATGAATCCCTGCAGTCACGAAAGCTTTACATCAAGATTTATTGTGAATGATGTTTAAAACAACAATATTTTTTATAAAATAATTCTCACGACGTTTCGGCCACAACGCAAGCAGCCGTCGTCAGGTGAAGAACAGGTCTGTCGGAAAGACAGTGTCTGAATGGGCACCACCATGCTTGGCAGCGTATATTTAAGCTGCTGGGTTGGAGGGGGGAAGGGGCGCCTTGAAACGTCGTGAGAACTGTATTTTAT